CGGCTTCCCACACGTTCTTCACCGATGGCCCGAGCGCCTGCGCCCCTCCAAGGCCTCGCCACCCTGCCTGCCTCCTGCCACCCCCTTAGAATTAATTGGTCCCTGCGCGTCTCATGCCACTTCCTTCACACCTCGCAGTGCTTTGTCACGTTATCTTCTACTTAGCTGTTCTAGCTCCCACTTCCCAGTAATAATTTACTGGGGGCCGTGGTGTCCCAGGCTCCACGCCCAGCGCGGGGCGGGCCCCGCACTTCATCCTACGCCCACCGTGGGTGGGGCCTGGTGATGCCTCTTTTCAGAGGGGGAAAGGGAGGCTCGAGGCCACAGCGCTAGCAGCGGGAGCGCTAGGATGCCATGGCCCCTGGCTTCTCCACCCTGGGCTGCCCCACTTGCCGCCAGCTGAGGACCACTTGGTGGTGAAAGGTCCCTTCTCTCTCTGCACAAAGTGTCGCATTCATCCCCATCTGTCCCGCCATGCCCTGCAGGCCAAGGCCAGAGGTCGGACCCCTGGGCTGCCCAAGAATGAGGGTCTTTCTCTGTGCCCAGGGCACTTCCTGCCTGGGGCTCCCCTGTCTGTCAGGAACAAGGGTGCCCCACAGGCACAGGCCTGGTAAGCTAGGACCCAAGGGCACAGGAGGAAGGGACCGGGTCAAGGTCATACTCCTCTGGGCAAAGGGAAGATCAAACAACTCCAGCAACCACAGTACCTCCTGCCCCCGGTGGAGGACCCCCACCCCCAAGCTTCCCCAGGCCCAGATGCTGGCAGAGAATTGCAAACACAGCAGGGGGCCAATGGCCCCCAGACTTTCCTGCCACAGGATGGGGGCCTGCTGGGGCTCCAGGACCATCTCACCCCTGCAGCAGCCCGATTTAATTAAGATGGATACACTGTGCCCCCACGGGCAGAAGCCATGCCAGCACAGATGGCGGGAGCCGGGCTGCTCACAGGGGCTGCAAGGGCATCGGCTGGCAGCTGGTGGAGGAGGGCCAGGGGGCGGGGCAGGTGAAGTTGGGGGGCTGCCCTGGACATGGTGGTTCTACCTCTGCAACTCCAAGTCCTCCACTCACTAACCAGGCCTCCAGCCCCACTCCTTGCCAAGTACCACACAGCACATATCACACCCTACACACCCCGACAATCACACACAGCCCACACACATACACCCTCCACATGCATACACATCACACACATACACACACATATACACATACACACACCACCCACATCAGACAAAAATACACACCACACACATATACCACATATACACATTACACACACAGCACACATCACAAAAGTATACACACACCACACATGCACCCCACATCACACACTCATACATCCAACATCACACAAACACACACTACACATATCAAACACACACACTACACATATACCAGACATGCCCCACGTATCACACAACACACTCCACACACGTGTATTCACACATGTCTACCACACACATACTCACACATCACGCATACACCCACATACATACACACATAATCATACACACACATCCACACCTCATGCACACCCCACACATCACCCACACACACTCATGCACATACATCACACTCACATACACTCCCCAATCACATCTCCAACAGCAACAAAGTCAGGTAAAAGCCAGTCCTGGATTCGCTGCTAGAGGACCAGGTGGGAGACAGTCCTATTTTCTGAGTGGGGGGGAGGGATGAGGACAGATAGCAGGAAGGTACCAGGCCCCGCCCTCTCCAGGGATCCTCAGGGTCCTACCCAGGCACGGGAGGGGTGCCTCGGCCTTGCTGGAGTCCCCTCTAACCCTGACTTCTCGGGATGGAAAAGGCCTGGGGGATCCCGTCCCCCTTTGTTCCCCCAACACCCGCCCCTCTTGTCTTTGCAGCTGCAGCCTGGCGAGCAGAGGGGAGGTGGCGGCTACACCCTCCCGGCCCCCTCTCCATCTGGCAGGGAGACAAACATACACCCCACCCACAGGCTGCCAGCTCTCAAAGCCCCAGTCCCAGTCCCACCTGCAGGGTTCCCCGCGGCCACCCACACCCGCGGGGCCAACGCTGCCCTGGGCTTCACAGAGAAAACATTTTAAGTTCCCACTCTGAAGTACGGGCTCCCCCCTTTCCCCCACTGTGGTGGCTCGGGGGCCGGCGCTCAGAAGCAATTATTCACGGCTAATGATTATAATCAAGTCAAATAGAATTTAATGGACACGTATTCTCTTCCTGCTTGAAACTTTACATATGAATTAAGCACATATGGGTTTCACGAGGCACAGACGCAGATTTATGCCACCCCGAAAAGCCCCGCGTTCCCCACGAATTTTATTCTGCTAATAAACCGGCTGATTTACCGCCGGGGCGGCGCCGGGAGAGGCGAGCTCTGCTGCCCCCTGGTGGCGGCGCGGGGCGGGGCCAAGGCCGCCGGCGGGGTGGGGGCGGGGCCAAAGCGAAGGGGCCCGGGACTCGGGGACCTGGCTGAGTCTAGGCTGCTCCGGACACGACACAGATGCACCCCTGGGGGCGGTGCCAAGGCTGCTGAGGACCCCGGGATGTAGGGCAGTGCCAGAGCCACTAGGAACCCCCAAGGTCCCCCCAGTGTCAAGGCATCAGGGACACCCCACCCTCCCGGGCCAAGGGCAAAGCCACCAGGGGCCTGAGTCAAGGCCATTGAGAACTCACACATATACACCCAGAGGCAGAGCCAAGGAAGGGAGGCAAAAGCCATACTGCCCTCCTAGGGCAGGTTCAGGAGACAAGACAGGTGGACACCCACACCCGCTCCAGGGGGTGGGGACCAAAGCCCCAGGATCTCCAGGGAGGGAGCCAGACAGAGCCGGAGTCAAGGCTGCTGAACACCGCGGGGCCAGTGTGAAAGCCACCAGGGACCACGGTGGTCCCACCAATGCCAAGGTCACCCTGGGATCACTGGAGGGTTCGTGTGGCTGAGTGGGAGCCCCAGGTCCGGGGCCTGTGTGAACCCTGGGGCTCCAAGCAGAATGTAGGTCCTGGAGGTTTCAACAGAAAGACTTTTTAGAGAAAAATTAAAAAGGAGGTCCCAGGAGAACACAACAAGCGACACTGGGTAAACTGAGGCGAGCAGAGGCTAGTGAAAGAGGACCAGCTCAGAGAGTGGCAATGACGGTGTTTCAACACCACCAGCGGGGGCAGGGACGCAGCCAGGCGCTGCGTGGGCCTCACATTTCACAGGATCCTGCAATACCGGCGGGTGGGTTTCTGTGGGCCCACTGAGGAGCATGGAGGCAGGCAGGTGGGGACGCGGATGCGGGAGCCCGGGCCCCACCCCCAGCCCCAGCAGAGTAAATGAAGCCAGGACTAAAGTGCTCCTCAGAGTGAGAAGCTGCACTCGGTGTCTGGCAAGTCACAGGGCAATTAGGAAAAGACATTAATCTCGGCCACCGAGTACAGTGTCCGCCCCACTCCATCTACAGCCAACTGACACCCCTGCGGCCCCTGACCCGCCCTGGTGGCCCCCAACGTGGGCTGGGGGGAGCTGATAAGATGCCCCACTTTTCCCTTCTGGCAAGAAGAGTACCAGCGGGGCCTCCCACACCCTGTGGGTGACTGCAGGCTGGGGGCACCAGGAACGCAACAGCCCCTCCATCACAGCCCCGTGGTGGAGGGCAAGGACATGGTTGAGCTCTGCCCTGGACACAGACTTGGAACCACTCGGTCCTCTGGCCCTCAGTACAGACAACAGGAGGTCCTTCAGCGCCATCACCTCCCCCCACCCCCACAGCTATGACATCCGACATCCACAGTGTCTGCCCAGATGGAGTGGCCAACCTTGGTCCCACATACTCGTCCCAGCGGGTCCTAGTGGCCCGAGGGTACATCTGAACCAGCAGCAGAAAGCCAATGGTGACCCGAGCTCCCTCCGTCTTCCTCGGCCAGCCGCTCCGAATTAGAACTCCTGCCTGAGTGTGCACCTGGGACAGGTAAAAAGGGGGAAAGGGACCCGTGCACAGCTGCCAACAAAGGTGCAGAGAGCAATGCCAGAAACACAAACCCTAAGCTGGCCCTCCCCCTGAGCCCTGCAGGCCCAATCACAACTAAATCAGCGGGGACAACATTGGCAGCACCGTGTCCTGGAGACTAGGGGAGCCACCCTCAGCCCTGCAGGCCCGATGAGACACGGCGATACGAGAGGCTCGTGAGCGGCCCGAGCCTGCAAGGAGTTTGCTGTGAGTCAGGACTCAAGACCAGAGGACCTGCCCAGGCTGGTGAAGGACCACCTGCCCAGCATCTAGGACAAAGGCACCCCCGCCTCCAAGTGGAGGGTCGGCGAGCAAGTGAGCCAGGCGGGCATTCGGCCTCCCAGCCCTGGCCCCATGAAGCGAAAGCACACCTGGTGACAATGACCCTGGCTGCTGGTCCTTCTGGACATACCACCACTGAGCGACCCCGAGTCCTTCCCTGGAGCCTTCTGGCCTCACCCAGACAAGCCTACCCAGGAGAACAAGTGGCCACCTTCCTTCCTCCCCCAAGACAGGATAAAAGCCACAACTGCCCTACTCATCACAATAAACCGCCAAGCCAGCAAGAGCCAGACGCAGGTGGGGAACAGGCGCTAGAGAGCAGCTCTGTCCCTCCCTTCCCCCACCTGCCCAGGTCCGAAGGGGGCAGGGTGGGCAGGAAGCGGAGGAAAGAAAGCAGTAGTCAGGGGCGTCTGCAGCCCTCGCAGTCAGACCACCCCACTCTGGCCCCTGCATTCCTGGCAGGGCAGCCCGGCCCCATTCCAGCCGCGCTCCCCCCCCATCCCTGGCTGCTAATGGTCTCAGACACTGCAAGCCGCTCAGCAGAGGTGCCCCCGACACACCAGGTCACGGTTTCAAGGGAAGCAGAGCCCACGTGGCCGACACACTGGGCTCCCGTGGCGCCAGCAGGCCACTCTCACCCGGCAACCCGAGCCCCACTGGAGCCAGCTGGTGCCCACTCAGCAGACCCGGGCCAGGCGGAGAGGCGACCGCCCAGAGGCCCCCACTCACCGGCATTGACAATGGCATCCACCTCCAGCTTGGTGATGTCGCCGCGGAACAGGGAGATCTTGTCGTTGAGTTGTTTGTCCTTCTTGTACTTGGGCTCCTCCACCTTCTCGGCCACCCCTGGAATGAGTGGGGTTCAAGGGTCACAGAGAGGCTCCCCCTCAGGCCAGCCCCATCCCCAGCCCAGAGGCCGCCTGCAATGAGGTGTTTGCAGGGAACCGGAACAACCCACCCAGATGAGATACCTACAATAACCCCAGCTCACAGACACGTGTAGTCACAGGCAAAGCTCTTGAGGGGTCTGGGCTCAGTTTTCCAACTGCCTAATAGGAAGCCTAAGGCATCTGACTGCTAACCGGAAGACTGGCAGTTCAAACCCACCAGCTACTCCTTGGAAGGAAGATTGGGCAATCTACTTCCATAGAGATACCTCCTCAGAAACCCAAGGAGGAGTAGCACTATGAGTCGAACTGACTCAAGGGCAGTGAGTTGGGTGGGTTTTTTTTTTTTTAAATGAGAATAAAAATTGAACTTGCCTCAGCTGTGTTAAGAATTAAATAAGGGGACAAGTACCCTGAACACAGTAAACCCACACCAAACCCACTGCCATCGAGTCAATCCTGACTCATAGCGACCCCCACAGAGTTTCCAAGGCTGTAAATTTTTACCAAAGTAGACTGTCTCAGCTTCCTCTCAAGGAGCAGCTGGTGGGTTTGAACTACCAACCTTGTGGTTAGCAGCCCAATGCCTTACCCACCGCACCACCAAAAATCCAAACCAAACTCAGGGATGATTCTTCTTGTCTGCACTGTTCTCCCAAGCCCTGGCTCTGAAGAGGCCACCTCCAGATACCCAGCTGGGCCCCTCCCACCTGCGCAGGGCCTACCTTTGGCCGTCTCCTTCCACGTCGGAATTTTCTTCAGCCTGACGAAGTCCTTGCAGAAGTAGTGTGCCTCCCTCTGCTTTTCACTGAGGCCACTCAGGAAAGCTGGAGAGGAGAGGCAGGGAGGAGAATCAGGACAGGCGGGAGAGGCCGGCTCCATTTGTCCCTGTCCAAGTCTCCCCTCCTCACGTGACTCTCGCCTTCCCCATACACAGCCATCTTTCCCTCCGGCTCATGGGGAGAGGGGTACTGGAGGGGGGCTACACCACCACACCCTACCTCCTTTGTTCTGGAGGGGAAACTGAGGCCCAGGGAGGCTGAGGGACTCACTCAGGGACCATAGACTTGAGTGCAGAATTCAGTCCTGACAGTTTCCAGCTGCGCCCACATCCCTCTGGGTCCCTAAGTTTATAGAGGGGGGTAACACCCACCAAGGAATAGCTCAAGCTTACAGGCATTCATGCACGCTAAAGCCAGGCAGGTCGGTGGCACACAGTCACATTATCAATCAACAAAAAGGAAGACCGGAGAGGAAGAATCGATGCCTTTGAATCGTGGTGTTGGAGAAGAATACCGAATACACACGGTGGCCGGAAGAACAAACAAATCTGTCTTGGAGGAAGTACAGCCATAATGCTTCTTAGAAGCAAGGATAGAGAGACTTCATCTTGCTTAATATGGATATGTCACCGGGAGGGACCAATCGCTGGAAAAAGACATCATGCTTGGTAGAGGGTCACTGAAAAACAGAGGGACCTTCCAGGCGATGGACTGACACAGTGGCTGTGAAAATGGGCTCAACTGACAAGGGACAAGGTTCTAGTGGCTTTTTGGCCACAACCAGCTACCTAGAGGGAGCAAGTAATTGGACCTGTGGGCTCAGGACCATAGTTGCAGGGGACATCAAGCTCAATTGGCTTAACACGCTACACAAAAACATTGTTCTGTGTCCTCCTTTGGTGAGCAGCAACTGGGGTCTTAAAAGCTTGCAAACAGCCATCTAGATGGGTCTTTCCTCATCCAGAGCAAAGAAGAATGAAGAAAACCAAAGACGCATGGAAACAGTCAGTCCAAGGGACTGGTAGAGTATGTGATCCTCAGCCTATATGACCATGAGACCAGAAGAAGTAGATGGTGCCCGGCTACCACTGTCAACCACTCGGAGGGGGATCAGCACAGGAGATCCTGGAGAGAGTGGGAGGACAAAGTGGAACAAAACTCAAAATAATTTTTTAAAAAAAGACCAAGTTTTCTGGTCTGATAGAGCCTGGTGAGACCCCTGAGACTATGGCCCCTAGTTACCCTTCAGGTCTGGAATTGAACTCACTCCTGCGGCTTCCAGCCAAACAACAGACAGGAATATGGGATGAACATTCACATCAGGAGATACACTCCACTGTGGGAGAACAGAAGGGCAGTGTTTGTACAGAGAAACAGCTCGGGGGGCAGGAGTGCATGGGAGGGAAGGACACAGGGAAGAGGCAACTATGGGGATGAAGTAGGAAGAGAGCTGTTGCATTGTGGGGAATTGTAGTCAATGTCATGAGACAAAATGTATATGAACTGCTGAATGGAAAATGAATTTGCTCTGTGAACTTTCACCCAAATCACAAAAAATAAATAAATAAAATGGGCTCAAGCACAGAAATGACTGTGAGGATGGTGGGGGACGGGGCTGTTTCCTTCTATTGTCCGTAAGGGGTCACCTAGGAGTTGGAACTGACTTGACAGCACCCAAACACACGTTGTCCACTGGTTACTCATTGTCATTGTCACCAGTAGGGGGTCTCTGGGTGGCACAAACAGTTAAACACTCAACTACCAAGAGGAAGGCTGGCAGTTCAAACCCAACCAGAGGCACCTAGGAAGAAAGGCCTGGTGATCTGCCTCCGATAGGTCACAGCCTTGGAAACTTTGTGGTGCGGTTCCACTCTGCACACGTGGAGTCACCATGCATTGGAACTGATTCGATGGCCACTCACAGCAACAGGACACAAGGAATCAGGACAACTGGCCTCAAAGGGCCAGAGTCACACTGCCACCCACTCTGACCAGCTTCAAGAAACAGGGGCCTGGACAGAGGGGGAGAAAAATGTACAACAAAACTCAAAGTCACAGAAAAGACCAGGCTTACTGGTCTGATAGACACTGGGGCCCCCCAAGACTAAGGCCCTTAGATACCCTACAAACCTGGAACTGAACCCAGCCCCGGGGATCACCCTTCAGCCCAACCACAGACAGGCCTGTAAAGTGACAGAGACGTCAGGAGGAATGTGATCCTCCGACCGCTGTGACCCTGCGAAACCAAAAGGGCAGCATTTGCCAATAAACAAAGCTCAGAAGGCAGGAGGGGCAGGACAGGAGCCCAAACGGAAATGGGGACGGAAACGGGGAACCCAGGGAGGAAGTGGGACGAGTGCTGTTAAACTACTGAACGGAAAACTAATCAGCTCTATGAGCCTTCACTCAAACCACAATACGAGGTTAAAAAAATGTGAGGGGAGCGGTTCAGGAGTCGGACCAGCACAGTAGCTCCAACAACGGGCTCAAATACACATTCTGAGGGGAAATAGAGTGCCAGGGAACCAAACCGATCTGGGGCTTGTTCCTGACACCCCCAGTGTTGACTGAGCCCCCAGCCCCACATAGGCACCCATCTGGGGCTCTCCCCAGGAGCCCAGGGGGTGGCTGGCATTGTCCCCATTTTACAGATGACAAAGCAGGGACGCAGAGGTTAGGAATCCACCCACAGTCCCACAGCTGGTGGGTGGGGACCCAGGTCCACCATCCATTCGTGGACGCAGCACGGCCAGGAGCCCCCGTTCCAGCCCTGCCCCCTGGACCTGGCCTTCCCTTTGGGGCGGCACCAGGTAGAGGCAAGGCTGAGCTCCTCCGAGGTTTTGCACCGACGAGGTTCAGGCTTGCAGCTCACGGGCTCCCCCTGCCGGCCCACGGCCGCCTCAGCACCGCTGCTCTCAGCCCAGCCTGGCGCCCTGAAGGAGCAGCCCCCATTGATGTCCCAGGGGAGGGGGCAACCAACTGCCAAGGTCACCGTCAAGAAACTCAAAAAACACCAAGAAATGTGTAGCGTGGGAGGGGAACTAGAGGAGCTGGTGGGGAGGAGGGGTCTGCCTTCTGGAAACTTCTATGGAAGTGGTTGTATGAGGGGCAGGTATTCAGGGGAGACAGGTCACCACTCCCTCCCTTTCCCTGCCGATTCTAGGTTTCCACATCCGTCCAGTGGCAGCGGTGGTGATCACACCCTGTGGCAAGGATGCCAAGAGCACTAGGTGACATAACTCACGGAAAAAGCTTGTAGTGACACTCAATAATGTATCCGAGAGGACTGTGGTCAAAGTCACAGCACCCCAAACCAGCTTCAACTGGCTCAAGCCAAAACCACACTTTTGTGTATGTGTGTGTGGTAATTTTTATTGTGCTTTGGGTGAAAGTTTACAAAGTAAAGTCATTTTCCATACAGCAGTTCATACACATTTTGTTTCATGACATTGACTACAATTCCACACAGTGTAACAGCTCTCTTCCCACTCCCTCCCGTAGTTACCTATTCCCTGTGTCCTTCTTTCCCATGCGTTCCTGCCCTGAGCTGTCTCCCTGTGCAAACACTGTCCTTCTGCTCTCTCACGATGGAGCATTCTAAGGATGTGTCTACCTGATGTAAACGTTCACCTCGTATGTCTGTCCATTGTTTGGCTGGAAGCCACGGGAGTGAGTTCGGTTCCAGACCTGAAGGGTAACTAGGCGCCGTAGTCTCGGGGGTCTCACCAGGCTCTATCAGACCAGCAAACCCAGTCTTTTTCATGATTTTGAGTTTTGTCCTCCATTGCAAAACCACCCTTTCTGGAACCCACTTCCCACTCCTTCTATGGCATTCACTCAACACCTATGACATGCGCGTCCTGCATTCACTGAGCGTCCATGGCACACAGGTCCTGCACCAGTGCTGGGGACACAGTGTTGAACAAATAGATGCGGCCCTCGTGAACCTGCAGCCCAGCAGGGAGTCCAAGGCTGGCCCGAGCATTACGCAAGCAAGCAGTTCAAATCCTGCTATGTGCTGCAAAAGAGACGTGCAGGAGAGTGGGAGGGGGTAACCAGGACCTGAACCCAGGGGAGGCAAGGGAACATCTAACTGAGACTGAGGAGAGGAGTGGGAGGTGGTCTGGGCAGGGAAGGGCATTCTGCTCTCCGGAGGCCTCAATGAATGAAATTCAGTGTGTGGAGAGGGGTGAGTGTGTCGGGACATGACCAGAAGGCAGCAGGGCCTATGTGGAGTCTTGAAGGCCTGTTAGGGATCTGACTCCATCCCCCACTCCCTCACTGCCATCGAGTGGGTTCCAACTGACCCCCACTGGGTTTCCGAGGTGGTAAATGTTTATAGAAGTAGATTGCCCCATCTTCCTTCCGAGGAGTGGCTGGTGGGTTTGAACCACCAACCTTCTGGTCAGCAGTCAGATGCCTTAGGCACTATGCCACCAGAGCTCCCTGACCCCATCCCCAGGGTACCAGGATCACACTGAAAATGTTCTCACCAGCTACAGATTGAGACCTGTCCCCCGGAATGGTGCCATTTTCGTCCTTTCCAAGGGGACACGCTGGCCCCTCAGTCACGGGCCTCCCTTGTTGCTCACAGACCATTCCCTGTGCCCCCTTCTGAAGACCTGAGGATGCATCACTTAAACGCTCCTTTCTTTGGGTGTGTGTGGGGTGGGTATTTGGAAAGAGTTAAAGTGTCCCCACAAGCCTCAGTTTCCTCTTCTGTAAAGTGGGACACCCGCAACAAACACCAGCTTAGTTTGGTACAAAGTGCTCAGCTGCTGTCGTCCGGTACCTCTGAGGGCCAGGAACGGACTGCAGAGGGAGCGGCCGGGGCTTGATCCAGGCCTGTGTGTGTGACAGTTACGACTGTGTGTCCACTTGGCCAGACCATGATTCTAAGAGGTTTAAGCAGCTGTGATGTGGTCACCTCCATGACGAGATGAGCTGTGAGTGGCCAATCAGTTGAAAGGCAGTTTCCTCAGGGGTGTGGCCTGCTTCCAATGTACTTGTGGACATCCTGGGAACATTCGCTGGCTTTCCGCTGG